AAGTAATTTTACATCAAGTAACATCTTTTGAAAAGGATAAAAGTTATAAAACACAAAAGTTGTAGTGTCCATCATTAGATTTAGCTGAATGTTTTGATGCATGAACAGCTAAAGTAGATATGCAGAAGTTGTTAGTCTGCAAAAAGTAAATGAATAAATCATGAAAATAAATCAGGAAGCAGCATTTATAGAATAAGGCTGCAGAATGAGCCAGATAAATTCCCATATTTTAGAATTGGGGACTACTTAAAAAGGCAGCACCTATTATTATCCACCTGACAAGGGTTTCTTAACTTTATATCTTACTCCTCCGTCAACTTTAAAGTGGCCCGAACCGCAACGTGTACCCCCACAAATGTTATATCAAAACGACCGGCTCGGCACTGTGATGTGCACTATTACTTTTATTGGTGTTTTGAGTTACCACGGTGACGTAATTTGCAAAGAAATACGCCGTTTTTATTAGTCGTTTTTCATAGACTCTGGTTGCAAATCAAAAATTCAAGATGGCTGCCCGAGCTAAGAAGGAACAATACTGTAAATCAGCCATTTTCAGAAATATTAAATTGAAATTTGGTGTGTTAGTAGCTGAGAGCAATGCCCAATAAATATTGAATTAAAAAAAATTCAAGATGGCCCCACCAAAGCTACATTTACCATATTTTTTGGCTTATAAGTTGCACTTTTTTGCATAATTTGCATGCCCTATGACTTGCATGCCAAAGTGACTTATTTATGGATTTTCCCCATATTTTTAACCAATTTTTGGCTGAGGTATGACAGTTTTCATTCATTCTGACTAAAAATATTGAACACTGCCATTTTCAGCCACTAGATGGCACTCTAGTATGGCATGCCGTTGAGTAATGTAATGGTAAAAGGGGCTATTAATGACACAATCGGCTTGCCAACCAAAGCCACCTTCATCCAGCTCGCCTGGAGCAAACGTCAAATCAGTGTCATTTCGCTGCGACGCCCCAAAGAAATGCAGCCGATTTGACCATCAAAGTGCATTTATTAAGGAAAAGTTCAACTGAGACGCACCTTTTCTGTAAAGTCGAGCAAACAAATAATTGTTTTAGGTGCTTATCTTGTTAAATTTCCCAAACGCATACTGAATTCAAATCAAAAATCCAAGATGGCCACCGTAGCTTAAAATGACTTTAACTCGCTGATATTCTGCCATGTTGAGCTGAAATTTGGTGTGGTGCTAGCTGTCGAATCAAAATTTAAAAATGGCCGCCACGTGGCAGTCCTCGTCAAAGTTCCTCCAGGAACTTTCTAGTCTTTAGTTCAGAGTTTCATCCAGCATGCTCATTTACCTAAAACCTTCTTCCTTTCCTGTTTTTCTCACTTTCTACCTCACAGCCATTTTGTGTTTTGTTCAGCGAGCCAGACGTTTTGTTTTTTTCCTCCTCTTTTTGTGAATGAACGACTCTGCCGTGTAATTACCTGGGCTGTGCTTTCAGTGTGGCCTGTCCCGGCAGCTCCACACCCACTGCAGACACACACGCAAAGACAGACGAGCCGGCGCTTTTAATCCACGCACGCACACATGCCTCCCCAGCTGGAAGTGCACAGCTGCTGCTGTTTACCCTGTCGGGACCAGAAAAACATCCTGTACAGTTCTCCGGGTGAAAACCTCCCCTCGCATAATAAACACGAGCCCTGTGCACAGTTTGAAGCTCCACTTTGGGTGGTTTCTGTGGCCATCGAGGCAGAGGTCCCCTCCAGCAGCCCAGCTTGACGGACACTTCAATATGTTGTGGATTAGCTGGATTCCTCTGGGTCAACATTAGATATTTAAAGCTTTTTGTCGTTTCTTGTTTCGGACGTGGCATTCTTAGATTTCCTCCCAGTCCGAAGGGTACAAGTGATGGCTAACATCTGGATACCAACAGGGAGGAATGCTGAGCCCCGAGTGTACACGCTCTCCTAAAAGAGGTGTGACGTAGGCTTTCATCGGCCCACAGACATCTCCCCGGCCCGTACGGTTGTTTAGCTTTCAGCCTGACGTTGACGGAGGAAGCTTTGGCTGCTGTTGTGTCTGGAGCAGCGAAGGAAAGTGGGCAAGGACACTCTGGGCTTCCAAATGACGGCTGGAATGCAGTCGTGTGCGAGCATGAGTTTTTGTCGTGTGCATGCGAGTGTGTTTTACGTGCCTGCTTTGAGTCGCTTAAACATTTTCAGCTGGCATTTAAAAAAAAAAAAAAAAGATTCCTGTACAGACGGGAGAATTAGCCGTCGCCTCCAAGTGCTGGGGCAGGGCCGAATCACAAAGGGATCTAAAACCGAGTGCGCCAACCTTTACGTTTTAAGATGACTGATTGTTTTGGACGGATCGTCCCTGTTTGCACGTGTAAAGCCAGTTTCTAGACGGCTGGCTTGAAACACGGCAACGAGGCGTTATTTCAATTCAATTCAGTTTATTTATGAAGTGCCAAGTCACAACAGAAGTCGTCTCAGGACTCTGAACAGAAACATTCACATACATACCAAGTGATAAAAGTTTATCTAAAGAAGGAAACCAGAAGACTTGTTGAATCTTCACTTTGTGACAGTCTCTCAGCCTAAGCAAGCACAAAGGAGACAGTGGAAAGGAAAAACTCTTTTATAACGGGAAGAAACCTCCAGCAGAACCAGGCTCAGGACTATCTGCTTCATTATCTGCAGGGTTTGAGAGGACAGGAAGGAGGAAGAGACAAAGACAGAATGACAGGTCCAGGTGTACTTTCTATGGTCCAGGTGTACTTTCTATGGTCCAGGTGTACTTTCTATGGTCCAGGTGTACTTTCTATGGTCCAGGTGTACTTGCTATGGTCCAGGTGTACTTTCTATGGTCCAGGTGTACTTTCTATGGTCCAGGTGTACTTTCTATGGTCCAGGTGTACTTTCTATAGGAGGAAAGAGAAAAAAACAGAAATAATTACAAATACAAACAGGAAGAGAAAATAAAGAGAGCAGCAGAGAGAAGAAAATGTGGTCAATTTGTCCTCCAGCATTGTAAGTCTATAGCAGCACAACTAAGTCTATAGCAGCACAAGTAAGTCTACAGCAGCACAACTAAGTCTATAGCAGCACAACTAAGTCTATAGCAGCACA